TGATAATTATTTTTTTAATTTTAATAAATAAATGATTAAAATATTATAATATAAAATTAATATTAAATTTTATAATTTTAATAAGATAAAAAAATAAAATTAGACTTTTACCAGGCAAATACCAAACAGGGGAGGAAGCTTACAAATATGCCATCGTTAGTTATGATGTCACCAAGCACTGTACAGCTGACCCTCATACAGATGTCTCCAGTGTGCAAGTTTACCGGAGTTGCAGCCACAATGGTGATGAGACGTGAGGTCAGGTGTCGGACCTCGAAATTTGGCTCACTTACACTAAAAGATGTAGACCCATTGCCTGCACTTTTATTTTTGCGTTTGTACCAAACATCAGTCAACTAGCATTTTTTTGTTTTTACCCGCTTTATTGTAGTGGCAATTTACAAAACATAGGCAACTTTCTGCATTTTATTTAGTAAATGCAAGGAATTAATTTTAAAAAAAAAACCAGATTGGAAACAGCGCCAAATTGGAAACAAAACTAAAATTAAAATAAAAAAAGAGCAATGGAGGAGGGAAATAGAAAGCATTTTTCCGAACATTCTAGAAAATAATTTTCATTGCCGAAGAATTTCTCAAGAATTTCTCCACAAGCTCACTTCCAATTCCAATTCCGATTATCCTCATTTCCCATTTCATTCCCATTATCTTTCAACTCTATTTTTCTAAAGTTTCAATTGAAGGTTTTCTTCATTTTCTTTTCGATTAAAAGTTTAAATGTTGTTTATATTTCCTATTGAAAATTTAGAGTTTTTAATTGCATGTCTAATTAAATGTAGTTTTTTTGATTGAGAGCAATTTTGGACTATGCCATGCGCATCACTTACATTTTTTTTAGAGTGATTTCCTTGCATTTTTAATAAATAAATAAATAAAAAGTTTATACTAATATTTATATTTTAGAGTGGTTTCCTTACATTTTTAATAAATAAATAAATAAAAAGTTTATACTAATATTTATATAAAATATAGGTGTGATTTTATCGGCTCTACTAATTCCAGCATTTGTGTGACGATTATATCAATGCGGATAACTTTTTTACCTGAATTTAAAATGCAAGTGAATCCTTCAACAAATGTAGGCAATATGCCTCGTTTTTGTAGTGTTAGCAAACCCAACTAAAATGAGGTTGAAAAAGGGCAACATCACTTAAACTTTATGCAATTTTTGATTTTTTTTTTTCTCATTTTTTGACGTCTTAGACATTAAAAAGAAAAGAAATCCAACAACAACTGATGTAGTTTTTTTTTTTTTTTTTAACAAGTGCAATTTTTAGGGAAGGGGAAGAGATTAATCCAACCCATAGGGTGGGGTTGGAAAGCTACACCTTTAACCAATCGGCCTATAAGGCCAAGTGCCAACTGGTGTAGTTGCCAACAGTTTGATTAGGAAATTAAGGTAAGCATAAATTATTTGTTTGTTAATTTTAGACCTTTAATTATAAGATGTATTAGATTATTTAGTGTTTTTTTATACCTTAAAATGTATCTTGTTTGCATTTTAGGGTTAACAAAAAATGTCATCCTTTCCCGATGCATCTTAAAGTAATGATGCTACTAGTGCCAACAATGTAAAGCATTTGTATATTATATTTTAAGGTTACAGTGAGTTTAAGTATTAGTAGTAATAATGTCATTTTTTAGTTATTTCGTGTTTGAATATGGCAACTTAAGCTTTTGGATACTCTTGAATATGGTTGTATGCTATTTAGATATTATTTTCTATTATTTTTTGGAGATAGCATTTGGTATACTCAGTTTCTAAAACTTAAACATTTGAATATTATTATTATTATGTCTTCTCTTGATATAATAAAATTAGGCATTTAATAATATGTCAAATTTGTGGAAATTTTTGGTTAATTGATGTCATGGTTGTTTGATTAATTGTGCTTTGATTCTAAATGATTATGTCAACAAATAGATTGTTATGGTAGCCAAAAAATACTGAGAAGTCAAAAAAAAAAAAAAAATCCTACGTTTAACTAAACGCTGCTGACCAAAATGCCAAAAAAAAAAAGGCCCAGCATTTGACAAAAAATGCAAGTAAAAACAACAGCTATTTAGGACTTTTTCATGGGCATCACTTACGTTTTTTAAATGATTTTCTTGCGTTTTTAATAAATGTAAGGGAAGAGAAGTTTATACTAATGTTTATATCAAATGCAAATGTGGTTTTACCAGCTCCACAAGTACCCGTGCTTGTGTGGCGTTTATGTTAATACTGGTAACTTTTTTACCTGCATTTAAAAATGCAGGCAAATCCTTTAGCAAATGTAGGCAATAGGCCCTTTTCTCGTAGTGTTAGAAAACTCAACCAGAATGAGGTTGGCAAAGGGCAACATCACTTAAACT